AGGAGAGGAGAGGAGAGGAGAGGAGAGGAGAGGAGAGGAGAGGAGAGGAGACTGGTAAGTCTGACACTGTGGGATAGTCCAGCAATGTGGAGATACTGAGTGAAGGTGGTGCTGTAAGTTAATTATGGAGGCCATTGCAGACAAAATTACTTCTTCCTGAGAGAAATTCCATCTCTGTTCTATTAAGACCTTCAAATAATTAGATGTGGAGGGTAATTTACTTTACTCAAAGTCCACTGGTTTAAATGATAACCTCATTAGAAAACATAAAGCTAAAAACATCTCAGAATGTGAATAATAATATTTGATCAACTATCAACTGTCAAGTTAACACATCAAGGCCTCAATATATTTTTTTAAGTAAATATAGGCAACTCATTATCTAAGAAAATTGTGTGCTTCTCTCTCAAAACTGATCATCCCTTTCTGGAAGCTGAATTAAAATCTTCACAAAATAGTCTTAGAAGGACCTAGAAATACTGGACAATAATCAGATAAGTAAAGTAAGTGGTTTCAATGGTAAAGGGACTTAAGCCATAATAGCACACCAGAAATGAGGAAGCCCCAGTGCAATATGATTTTTTTAAGTAAAGAGTCATGAGACATAGTAGAGTCAACTTCAGTCAATTAGAGAATGCTCAAGAAGTCTAAATATCCAGTGACAAATGGTGAAACCAATTCCAGAAACTAGATGCTTCAAAAAGACTGAGTGCTGCCTCAGAGAAGGAAATATATTGAACAAACAGGGTCACAAAAACCTGTACAACAGGCTTGTTAAAAGCAGAGTCTATGTCTGATGCCCCATGGCCAGACCTGGAATGGATGGGATACTTGGTGGAAATGTCCTAAGGGAGATTAATGATTTCCCAAAAATATTTATCAAGAATTGTTCCAACTTTTGATTCCATGTTTGCTTTCTAAAAGAGGTTTTGATAGGGGACATGGTCTACACTGATAACTTCATATAAAATGGACACCAGGAATAGTGTTACTTTAAGATAGAAGCTAATTGTAAGATTTGTTCAACTTGCCACAAAAAGAAAGATAAGTGAGTTCTTACATCAGCATTTTCAGTGTAAATCATCCAATTCAGTAAACATAGAACAAAATTCTAAAGTATTCCTTTTCTAAATTTGCCCCTCAAATCTTTTTATTAACATGTACTTTTCTCCTATACCACCTGCCTAAAATTATTTTAATGAGTTTTTCTGAGAAGTATAGTTTATATTTGGCTGCTTGTAGCTGAATCTCAAAAATAATGAGAAGTCAGCATGTCCTTTGTTAGGTTTTGGGTTCCAAATAATGTGTTTTTTTCCATCTATGAGTTGTCTTCAAGAATATCTATAAACACAAGCAGATGCAGATAAAAATATATGTAGAGGGAGACAATGGGATGGGGTACAACCATTAACAATCCAGATACCAAAAGAGACTTTAAAACCCATCATTACTGGAGTATAGGACATGGAGAATGAATATTAAATATGAACCTAAACACAAGGAAAATAAAACTGAGCCCAGATAGACCACAATGATCTGAGAATTTAAAAAAAAAATCATTTCTTTGTCTTTATTGAGTTATTAATGGGTCACATTTGTATCCAGTGATTTGTGGAGAAAATAATATACATTGGGACGCCAACTTCAAACAACTAGGAAGGAGCAAAAGAGATGGATAAGCTCTGCCTTCTATCAACAGAATGGTTCCAGTTTGGCTAACTGAATATCATTACCTACAGAATGTCTGCCATGGTGAATCCAAGATCTTCTCTTCTTTCTCCACAAGGATTCTAGTAACTACAGTAAGTTTCAACAGATCCAAATTATGCCAGATAAGTGTCCCTTTGTCTATAGCCTGTCCCATCCTGAACATCATTATCACAATAATCATAAGTTATTATCTATCACATTGCAACATATAATATGCATGTCTCTTTGTTCTTCACAAGGTTGTAACTTCTTTCAATAAACTGTCCAACCTCTTTCACCTTGAACTTATTTAAACAAATCAAGATATACAGCATGTGTCCAAATATCCCATTTTAAATTAATAAGGAAATACATAGACTCATCTATATGAGTGTATAAAATCTTAGATTGCAAGATCATCTTGCTTATCTTTTCACCAACTATATCCATGTGACATACCTTCAAACTCTTGGGGCTTTGTTACATTGCTAACATGAAGAAAAGCAGCCTTTACCTAAGAGAAAACACATTTAAAAGGAAAAGGTAGCTGAATCACTGAGCTGGAAAAAAGAGTCACTTCCTCATGGTGCTTAGAACCTAGACTCTTGTAAGTAATATCTGCACCTAGTTGTAACTCTACACATCTGAGCACATGCTAAGTATCTCTGATCATGCTAAAGCCATGTGACAGGCCACTTTCTAAATTCAGGTGCAGATGTCTCCCAACATTGGATTAAGTATCAACATGATACTACTCTACATCTCAGAACAATGTGGTTAGTGTTGATGGAAACAGTGAATGTTCAACCCTGGAGCCATGTCCACTTTCCACTCCTGGGAGAATTATTGGAATAAAGGGAAAAAATAGCCCAGGAGCCTTTTAAGCGTCCTTATTTTTCTCTGTCACATCATTAAAGGTTCAATGAATCTCCAATTAAGTCTCCCTGGCTGCTGTCACCAATTTGATTGATAGATGTCCTTGGCTCACCCTCCACAGGACATGCCAGTACAACAGGCCCCCACCTGCCACCATCAATTATCGCTCTCTTGTCATCAGTGCCCTCGCTTGTCAATTTATTTGCCACAAATCCAGTGAAGCCCTCTAATCGGGAAGAAAAAAAGAAAAAGACATTCTTCTCTACTTTTAGTGGTGAAATGAAAAATAAAATTAACAAACCACATACAATTTCATCTTCCAGAACAATTTGCCTTAGGTTGGTTTTTTTTTTCTTTCTCCTACCATTCAACAAACTGGGTATCACAAGGTCTAATTCATACATGCATACATTAAATTAATTAAAAGGAAAAATAGGGACTTATATACACACAGACACACACACATACAGACACATACACACATACACTATCTGAGATTTCTACAAACCAAGAATTTTGCCATGGTGAAAACAAAGATAAAATCTTCAATTTCATTGGGAAATTAATACTAAGTAGTACCGATTGGAACTGTTTTTAGAAAGCTAAGGCATTCGTTGGTGCTTATTTTTGGCAAACCTTGTTCGTTGGTGCTTATTTTTGGCAAACCTGGTAAGCATGTTTAGTTTAATTTGTTTTCTGCATAATTATTTAACATTTGAACAGGGGCTGACTGTGGTGCTTACTGATTACCTATCTAGGACACTGAAATCTTCAGTCTATTGACAGAAAACTAGTTTCCCCAGAGTGCTGATATCCACTCCTGTCATTGACCATGAGCCATTCTGCACAAATTCGAGGGAGGCTCAGGTGTACCCAACAAGACCTTAAGGAACAGATTGATTCCATACAGAGGCCTGTTAAGAAATGACCTTTGCCCTTGTAACCAAGTGACAACAAAATAATGCCAACTCTCATGCATCTCATGTCTAGGAAAGGTGATTTATTTCTCTGAAAACAGTTCAGAAAGCTTTTGTGGTCTTTATTTTGTGGTTTCATTTTGTTTCCCTTTCCTTTTTCCACATAGACACAAGGGAAAGTAAGGGAGAAGAAAAGGAGAGGACATTCCATGGGATTAGGAAACGTATCTTCTTATGTACATGGAGGTACCAGGGAGCCTTGCCTTGAGAAGGAATAATGGTCTCCTGAATCCATCTATTTTGCCAGTTAGGGAATGTGCTCCTTACTGCATCTAAATATTCATTCTGAAATGATGAATTTTGTCTAAGAAGGTATGTGGTGAGCAGAGGAAGGAGGAGGATTACCCTTGTCATCTCCTGCTGTGACCAAGTCACAGAAGACACATAGGCACCTGAAATGTCAACATATTTGGGTCCTAGTGCTAACTGCCCACATGAGCAAGTAGATGTTAAGCTAGTGTTGAGAGAAACTAGTCTGTCATTGGATTAATACTGCGCTTTGCAGTATGAATGCATCAATATCTACAAGGTTATCTCTTCCCTAAGGAGTGACAATGGCTAATTAAATGAGTCATTGAGTTTTTTCACTTTTGTTTTCAATTAGCGTTTTCCCTATGAATGACAAAACCGGTGACTTTCCAACATTTTAAAGCATTTTCATCTTAATAGCTACTTTTAATGTATACTACCTTTAAGAAAAGGGATGGAGTAAAATTACCAGAAGGGAAACCAAATTATGAAGTTCCTTAAATATTTATTGCTGATTTTATCACAGTAGCCAATATTCCAATGCTACTTGTAAAGTTATGAAATTAGGTCAGGAACAGATGACCATAAAGCCCTTAGTGATTACAGGCCTGACCCATAATGCTCATATTTCATTCCTCTTATAAGAGTCTCTGGTGCAACAGAGGTAAATGGATCAGTGCTTCAATCGGAGCCTGATCTGGGGAATTTAGCTGCACACTTACCAATAATGGAACTGCTCAGTTCACGCAATCTCAGAAGTCAAGAAATGGAATAAAATTTCCATATCAGAACACATTTAGCTTCCACTCATATATTCCAAGGAAATGAGTTTCCAGTTCTTATTTAAACAATTCTAAGGGTTTTATCAACCTTTCTGGGGGTACTCCCTGGTATTTATTTGAATGATTCTTTGTTTTGAATAATAATTGTGATATATATCTTTGGTGATAACTATACCATGTTATGTATTCTTATTGTATATTAAATATTAAAAGCTTTTTGTCTTTCAATCTTTTTCTCTAAGTTTTCTGCTTGTGACATCAAAACAAATACCATAATTAATAGAAATCACAATAATAATAATAATAATAATAATAATAAGTTGTGCAAACCACTATAGCTATCAATAGCTATCAGCTGTTGGTATCATTGTATGCTTAGTCCCTTCAAATAGAAACATTCACTCACTCCCGAAGATGAAAGGGCCTCATAAGACTCAGAAACTAAATAAAACTTCCAAGATCAGTAAATGCCTAAGAATCACGCAGCCCCTCCCCAAGACTATATAAGCAGTGAAGGTTTCTGGGGAGAGGAGAGGCTCAGGCCAGCAGATCTGCCTGGAAGCTGGGTGGGGAATTTCCAGACTGGAGCTTTCCTGTGTCAACACCAAGGCAGAGTGGGGGTTTGGGGAGGGGGAGGGGTGGTGAAGCAGCTGCCTTGAAGCCACCTTCACATAAGTAACCTTCACCTATGGCTCTGAAAGTAACATCAAGAACTGACTTTCCTGGAGCTAGGCTAGTGTGCAATCATTTCTTAGGTCTGTTATTGAATTACTATTGGAGTAAATAAAAATGTGTTCATATCACCCAGAAAAAGTGATGTAGCCAACATAAATGCAGTGATTCCATCCTTTCTCATCCCTTAACAAGTTTACAATCACAAAGACACTCTTACTATCTGTGATTCCTCTACATTTAACATACAGTATCTTCTGTATCACCCACAACAAAAGACAGAGAGTGCTTTTACAAAATTCATTAAAAATTCATAAATAACCACGTAAACAGCTGTTGGGACTCTACTGAACTATTGTCAAATCTGCTCAGATACTTTTCTAATTTACCCAATGACTGTAGCATCCCATCTTAGCAATCCACATAAGAAGCATCTTAACATTCAAGGGCTGGCTTGGTGCCTTTCTGTTATTGAAAATATCATCTATCCTTGCAAAAATACTTCATAATTTTTTTAGTTACAAAGAGAAATCCTCAAGTCTTGTGTAGACAAGCAGTCTTGGACCTATATTTAAGCTGCTCTTTTCTAAGGACTAATAACATATTAATCATTCAGACATCTGTTAAACACATACTCTAATCAGTAGATGGGGAATAGCATGAGTTTTGCATTGCTAACAAGATCCCATGTTATAATGATGCCACAGTCCATGGAGACACTTTCAGATGTGACCTGCTGGAATGGAACAATACAGTTTTTCACTGTTTGGCAAGTAAGTAGCTCAGCAACTCCCTCCTGATGGGATCGTTTCTTGACTTTCTAGAAATACCTAATCTAACATTGAAAGTTCACACCTTATGTTTCTTTTTTAATTATAAACAAAAATAGCAGATATATTTTTAATGGAGCATGAAACCAAATTGTAAACATGCTTAAATATTTATTGCTGAAAATGCATAGTAGCCAATATTTGAATCTAGTTATTAAATCATAAAATTAGGTCAAGGATGGATGATCACAGAGTTGTTTGGGCTTAGTAATTACGGACTAGTAAAATACACTAAAATTCCTCACATGTGTTGAATAGTAGTTGCTAAGTCTAAACTAAATGCTAAGAGAAGTTGCAAGTAGATAATAGCAGCTAAGTATCTCCTAGTAAATTAAATTTATCTTTTCTATTCTGTTCTCTATCACAATGTCTTTCGAATATCACTATACACAGTAGTATGCAGACTTTGTTAAATGGGGAATGACAAAGCCCAAAAGCTAATATAGATTCTAGAGGGACAAGAGCATATCTGAGAAACTTAATTCTAACAAATAACTCTGATAACTGTTGCACAGTTAATGAGCAGACTGAGAAACACTACTACACAGTCATAAACCACTCTGAGCCTGCCTAGAAGTGATGACATGTTTGTTTTTAATTTGAGAACTCCAGAGACCGAAGCAATTGCCTTCCTGTGAGTTCAAGGCCAGTCTGGTCTTCATAAAGAGTTCTAAGCCAGGCAGGGCCACATAGTGAGATGCTGACCAGAAAG